AACAGGGCCAGTTCCCATGTTTGGGCAACCAATGTCCCAACTTCCATATAGAAGGATTCATTCCCGTATATACAGGTTAGTTGCGGACCTGCAACTAACGGTTATTTCCCCAATTTCATAGTTCCGGCATCCTGCTCAACGATTCTGTGTTGGAGCCACTTTTCGTGACCCTGATACACTCGGAGGTAAGCCAATTCCTTGCGGAACCTTTTTTTTGTCGGCACTAGGCAGCCGAGTGTACCTGGAGTCTCCGTGACTCCTTAAGAATGGGGCCACCCAAAATAAAGGGGTGGACCCAATCTTAAGGGGTCAGAAGGAGATTCCAGGTAATCGATTGAATTCGCTGGAATCCTTTAGCTTTTGTTGCTTAATTGGTGGTTTGGATTGGTGGTTTGGGGATTTGAACCCTTAGTCTTTGTAGAGGGTAGATGGGCCACCCCTCCTTAAGCCACCAACTGAGGGGAAGCTGATGAATTGCATACAAACTGCCAGGCGTATACACCTTCTACGACGGCCAGCTCGCCAGAGGAGTCTGCAGACATTCGCACATAAATTTTGTAGAGGGAAAGAGCCGACGGGACTCAGACATTTCTTTACGATCATGTGTGTTGTTGTTCACGAAAACTGGGAGCCTAGGGAGTTATTGTGGCAGACATTTCTGTGGCAATTCAAGAATCGCGCCTTTTTGGATTCGCGGCATGTCTTCCCATTTTGCGGCGTGTTTGTTTGAATTGCGGCATAGTTCAGTTCTCTCGCCTCAGCTCGCTTCGACCAACATGACAGCAACTTGCACGACTTCGCACTTGCAACAGTTGGCTCAAATCCGGTGTTGCAAAACTTTGCGCGTGAGGTTCGCCTCAGAACATGCGGTGAAACCTGCAACGCTAGAGCGCTAGACCGTTGTGCAATTTGCTTTTCAAAGAAGTCCAGTTTCACTGCCTCTTCCGCTTGGTGCCAAGAACTCTTGTTTGAGCAAAAGGAGTGTCACAGCCCGCCCTGGGCCTATTGAGGCACTCAGCCGAAATCGCTCAAAATCAACCCACTGTGGCGCTTGTTTTCTGCATCTTATCAGGTTATCCCACCCAAAATTGGCAGCGGACATCGGCGGGAATGCGGCAGATATCGGCGGGCACTCGGCGGGCATTCCCAGAAAAAAGGTGGTCCCTGATCGTTTGTTTGCCAGGTTGCGCGGCAAAGGCTGAAAATCTATCATCAAATCGATTCGCTTTAGCTCCTAGATGCTTTGACTGATCGAAAGGTCGGGGTAGCAAGCTGTTCTTTATGATAGCATGCTTACTTTGGAGCATTGCTTGGAGAATGGAGCCAGACAGAAGCGACGTGTGCTCAGCGTGCTTGTTTGCTAAGGGAAACATGGAAACCTGGGATTATGCTCAGCCAGCCCGAAATTCTGGAAACAGTGCTGCGGCGCAGCGTTGTTTGTTTGCGGCTTTTCTGGAATGCGGCTGGAATGTCCACCGCAATGCATTTTGGCAGATATTTCCGCCGCAGGAAGCTCTAGGCATGTAGATGCTGCACCATTTGCCCATCGTGAAGATGTTTGTTTTTACTGGTGTTCAAGATGCAATGCCCGTTCCTTTCAATTGGGTGGCAGAATTGGGATGCTTTCCGGGTCCATGTCAAACACAATACTGACCCAGGTGAGGTTCCGTTCAAATATCCAGTAGTCAATTGTTCATTTGAGAGGGACGGCGGGGGCTCGCTAAACTACCACGAGCAGGGGACACACTTCATTTCCCATGCCCTTCGGGGAAACATGCAAGTTTGAGAGCGTTGGCGTGCCTGGACCTGTGTGGCCGCACCACACCATTCGCAAAGTTTGTGAACAATCAATAAAATGAATGGCATTCGCGTTCCCCCGAATCAAACCGTTTTACGAGTCTTACTCCGTAAAGGCATCTTCTGACCTGATATTCGTTTTTTTTGGGACTACTTCAAGAGGAGCCGGACAAACGCCGGGGCACAAGTTGGATGTGTGTCACCTGCTTCTGGCTAAATATGGAAAAGAAGCACCAGAACAATGCTCATAGCGATAGCTGGTAAATGGGATTCGCCCAAGTCCCACCTTGTTCCGAGCCGGCCGCCAAAGTGGTGGGTTTCCTTTTGGCTGCGTTTGAAAAAACCACCAAAAGGGGTACCACAAAACACAATGGACCTTGGCTGCGCAAATTGGTTTTCTAAACTGAGACGCCGAAAGCTATAGAGTGTATGGACCTCGCCCTAGAGAAGCCCAGTTTGTTTTCTTCTCGTGAATTGGGCCAAAGCTCGCCCAAGGGTAAGGGTGGGCTTCAAGGAAGTCTATGAGCAAGTTCACCAACAGTTCAGCTTTCATAGCTTTCGTTTTGTGGAAATACATGATCCAATCGTTTGTGTGTTGATGACAATCCTGTATTAGGCAGTAAGGACTGCAAGCAATCGCACCGTGCGTCACAGTGAGTTGCACCTCTCCAAGCTGGTGTCATGTTGGCTTTGCCTAGGCATAGGCGTTGTTGGGTTTGGAGCCTTGCGTTTGGTGGAGGAAATTGCGGGGAACTTTCCAGGCAGCGTCGGGTGATTGCCTCGCAATTGCAGGTAAAGAAGGGCAAAGAAGCCTTTGCTGAGAACCACGTGCATTTGGGTTGGTTTAGTGATAACATTTGAGTCTTGTCTAAGATGGGTGAGCCCACTTTGGGTTGGTTCTAAGATGAAGACAACGAGTAAACCCGTGTTGGAAGGCAGCCTGTTCTAGGAAATAGTAAACTCGCAGTTAGGAAGTCTAGTGCATTTCTTCTTTCAAGCTTCATATGAGCTGAGGTCCAATCTTGCTTGTCGTCTCAGGATGTGGCATCAGGGCAAATTAAGTCGGCATGGATTCGTCAATTTTCCTGGGAGGAGTAAACTGCCCGCCATGGAAAAGGCTTAGGCAAATACTCGTGCCGAGGTCAAGGTACATGTTCAGAAGGTACTCTGACCTAGATTGACCCCAGGTAAATCAGTTGGTAATTTGGACCCTTATAAAACATGGCCATGTGTGAGAATTAGAACTGGTTAAAACAAACACCGACCCCTATTGCGATGGGAAAGCCTCCATGCACAGTTCACACAGAGGCCATTGCCAATGTGATGTGACTACTAGTGGGAACATCCCCCAAACTTGTTCCCCCTTTGCACTTGAAAACCCCCTCACCTAGGCTTTGTAGGCTTTTGGATAGTCACTGCTCGCAAACAGGACTTCCTGAAGAAGCCGGTTGCTTATCGGCGACCGGCACTCAGTGCTGCAAGAACCTTGACGAGAACAGGCGCACACCAATTTCTCTCAGAGAGAATTATTGAAGTCCCATCTGCATTGAGGCAGTTGGAATTGAACCGTGCCCCCCTAGCAAAAAATCATCCATCCAAGAGCGAGCAGCCCCTATGGAGTGAGGTTTGAGCTTTCTGCCAACCACGCGTCGGTGGAACTGCGGCACCAAAAATACATCGCTGGAGAGCAGTCTCGGCATAATGGAGTTTATTCGAATGTGTTGTTGTATGGCATGGTGCAAAAGGCATGCGCGGCCTAAAGCACAGAGTCCCCAACCTTTCGACTTTTTTTTTGTAAGGGACCCACACTCAATTTGTTTGCCTGTCCTTTGGGCTCTTTGCAGCAGTTCATTCCCTTTGCATGCAGCTCATTGCACGAGTGATTGCTCTTGAGTCTTGCGGAGAATGCACGGGGCAAGCATCTTGCGTAGAGACAACGTGTTGGCGGGTATTTGTGTCAAGCCATTCCATACTTTCTGTGTTTGCTGATTGGATGTGAGAATTCGTGTGTTATTCCAGGGGTTGATTCCCCATTCTTTTCAATCATTGTTCTTTCAGAAACCTGCCGTTTTCCCTGGGCTTCTGGAGGTTTTCTGGAAAGATTCGGATCCCTGGAAAGAATGGAAATGGAAGGTACCCCTAGAGTTCTAGGTGTTGTGACCGCTTTTGATCACTTCGTTTCCTGAGGCATTTGTTGACTTGCGGCTTTTTAGAATGTGGTGTGTCTAAAAGTAGGGGTCCCGTTTGCAGGTTGGTTTCAACTAGGCTCCCCCCCCTCTTGGTTTCGTTTCAATACCCACCAAAAGGGGTCCGCACTTCTGGAAGACTCCCATAGAATTGTTGCTGAACATGGCGAGGGAAGTAGGAATTGGTTGCAATGTTCCGCCAACCGCGGTGATGTCTGCAGACTAAGAAGCACCTCCGAATTCATTGGAAGTGAGTTCGCTTGTAGTGGAGGATTGATCCAGGCTTGAGAGAGACAAGTACCTTTTTCAAGTTGATCCAACATAGACCTTCCAACCTCAAGTCCTGTTTAACACTTTACCAATTTAGTTGTCCCGAAGTTTTACTGTCAACGCCAAGCACTTCCCTTTCAGCGCGGGAGGACGTTTGGCCAAGGTATGGCATTTGTGCTCAGCGGCTAGCTTCCCATTTTTTTCAGGCATCGTTCTCTTCAACAAGCATTTTTTTCCGCAAGTATTTTGTATGGCTTTCTGGAAATAAGGTGGGAGAGATGGCCATAGAATCTACTGAGAACTGAACTCCTTGGTCACGAGTCCGTTCAAGGATTAGCCTGAATTGTCATGCTTCCAAAAGGTGCCGGATGAGGAAGCATGATGTGGGGTTTCTCAAAATAGACATTAGCAAGAGGCGACTTCCTGTTGATTTTGCCTTGAAACCCATCGGACAATGGTATCCTCAAGAAGCACACGCCCGTTTGTTGCTTCCTTGTCCAATGCCGGTGCTTGCTTCCCTTCGAGTTTCCAATCATCAGCTTAACGGACAAGACATATTTTTCTGATATGCACTTGCCAGGTGCGTTTGCCATGTACTTGTTCGAATTTTGCGAAAGTGCACACCTACAAGCAATGGGAAGTCTACTGGATTGCCTTTTTTCTATGCTCAGGAATAGGGACTCAACCATATCCATTATGGCCATTGGAACATGTCGCTGTGGGCATTGGCTCCGCGTCTTTGGCTGCAGCTTGATCCGAACCCTTTGCTTTTCGCGCGATGAAATCGCGAGTGGGGAAGCTCAAGGGGAAGTGGAAGGTTGAAGTCTTTCATTGGGCAAGTTGCGTGGGAGCCGCGAAATGGTTGCCCCGCCTTTGCTGTCGCTTCCAAAAGAGGTTCCTAGTTGCAACACATTGTGTCTTGCTTGCTGGCATGGTCTAGCAGCTAGGAAGGGATGTTCAAGGCACATATTGAAATTTGGACCATGCGACTTGAGCTGAGCAACAATGAAGGCGATATTCAACGTACATTATATAGTGCATATACGTCTACAATCATACTTCTACATCAGTGCATGCACATGTAACAACATTGTTCGTGAAATACTGTCTCAAGAATGTGTCAGTGTATGCAAGTGCTCATTTCTGCGTTTGTTTCTCAGCGGGCATTCTGGGTGCCTCTCGCCAAAAGCACCATCTTTGCATGAACTCAAACCGTTTGGCTGAACTCAGCAACAGTTTTCTTGTCGCTTCACATGCCTGGTTGCAGCAGCATGCATTTCCATTGATGATTGAAATGTGTAGAATGTAGCTGCTGAGTTTTCAGCGGATCTCACAGCTTTCGGCTTTTTGGCGAGCGGAGTTTCCGCGTTGCTGTAGCTAAAAAGCTGACCGGGCCAGATCTTGCGATGCCATGTCTGTCGGTGCAATTACTCGGGACTTTGGCCGGCTGTTCTTTTTTTGGTTTGGACATCAAGTCCAGACGGGCGAAGCTTGAAAGAATCACTGTCTCCAGTCAATCTGTTTCTGCAGTGACTCAGTTCGCCATGTGAACACAACGCAACCTTTGTGTTTCCTAGAACAGGGAGCACACCTTGTTTGGCTGGTTGACACCAAACGGAACTCCAACAAGTACACCAAAAGGGACAGCATTGGCATGCCCTCTTTTCGGAACCTCCAGCTACGCTGCTGACAGCATGTCTCTTGAGGTGTTGCTGCTCGCTGCTTTTGTCTCCTGGTGCACTGCCCAGGTGCCGCCGAAAGTTCCGTGGCACAACTAGAGCCGTTTGATTTTGTTTGGGGAGTGTTTCGTGGACGGATCCCTGGCTTTCGGCGGGAACGCCCTCCGCACCTTGAGCACAAATCAAGTATGCCATACTGTTTGATGGAGAGCACCTGAAGAGTTGCTGCTGGGTCCGTTTCCAATTGTGTCCACCAAAACTTCCCGATCGAAGAACAACATACCCGTTGAAGCCTATTGCTGCTTTGTTTGAAAATCCTTGTATTTACCTTGTCGGTTGCTTTAAAGAACCCAACGTGAGTTTCCTTTCGGCGGGGTGATGCTTAATGGGTACATATATAGGGAAGCAGGCAGCATGATGGCACACAGGAAGATACGTTTGTGTACTGACAGTGAGCCGGGCCTCAATCTTCACACAACTGTTTGCCAGCTGTGTGAGAGAAGGTTTCTGTCTGACAAACAGTGGACGTGAATTAAATGTGAGGACCCTCGCTAAATTGTGTTTTGTTTTATTCATGCATGTCCAAACAATCAACATGAACCCCAAAGAAAAGTGACAGTGAAAGGAGTCCTTTTGTTTTCCCGAGAAATGAAAATCCAAAAGGGGTGTGACCCGAACAATTGCCGGTCCAGGTGTGGGACACGGTCCTATGTTGCAGAGGATGCACATTTCATGGATCTCAGCACTAGTGCACTAGTGTCCCCTCTCAAAGGGAAGGGCTGCAGCACTGGCACTAAGTATCCATGTATATCCTGTATATCTCCTAAGACCCCTTAGCATCCACTTGACTTTATAGAGATCCCTGGTGAGTTCCCCACCCGACTTAAGCCCTCGGTTTCCCTAACTTTCATGGTAGTTGTTTGCAGTCGAATTCCACTCAGCCAGACAACCAACCAATGTGTCCTTTCTAGGGGTTGATCCCTTCTTCTATTTTTCGAAAACCGGCCGTTTTCCCTGGGTTTCCAGAGGTTTTCTAGAAGGATCCCTGGAAAGAATGGAATGCCTCAGCCTTTTTCCCCTTGAAGGCCGCAAAGGCCACGGTGGCCGCGAATGGCGGCCTCACTTTGGTCCAGAAGCGCCGCCCGAATGGCAAGCAGCCGGCGGACATGTGGTGGGCGGCGTTTTCTTTGGGAACTGACGCACTTTTCAGGTTGTGTCACCAAGGAAAGAGGGAAACCAAAGGGAAAACCAACACGATTTTGGGGGCCTTTATCTCTTTTGCACAGAAATGTCGGGTGTGGCTCTGTTAACGCGAAGGGGCCAAGCCTGGATGCGCCGCCTTGTGTCAGCTTAATTGGTAGCCCGTTCAGGTTGGTGCACGGTCAACCCGAAAGAACAGCCACCGGGTATCTCAAAACGGGCGACCCCATTTTGGACGGGGTCCAAGGAAAAGAAAAAGCTAACCAAACTGTGTTTGGGCTGGTGGTGTCATTGTTCTTTGCTCCATGTTTGTTGCTTTGCACGTGGGTGTCGCCGTGTTATCAAAATGGAAAGGCCGGGAGTGTACTAGACGACATGCGCGTCATGTTGACAGCTGGCTTTCTTTCCCCCGGAACTGCCATCATGCATTCAAAGCACCAAAATACAATCAACCACCAGTATCCTGAGCAAGTTCGCGACATCGGCTTCTCTGCGAGGCATGTGGGGCAGACACTCAATCGACCATATGAAGAGCTCCAGGAATGGTCAAGGAACTGGATCAGGTAGACCGGGAAACTCCGACCACAAAGTTTGCTTCGGTTCCCTGTCTGGCCACTCCGACCCATCCCCTGAAGTAGCAGTCAGCTTCCCCATTGGTGAAAAGAGGGCCAATGTCGGCTCCAACAGGTGGAGCTTCTGAGAAGGCATGGGCTAGACTCAGCTTTCTATGGAGCCGTTAGAAACTTCCTTGCATGGGTTAAATGGGGATGGTTCAAGCTAACACCGCATGCGCACCCGCCTTTACCCACCCTTCTGCTGTTTGCATCCCCTGGTTGTTTGTTCTTTCGGGCTAACGCACATCTCACATCTTGGTCATCACCAGGCCGTGCACAGTGCTTGGAGCCGACACACACACACACACACACACACCACAGGCAGCAATTACTCTGCTTTGTCAGACATTTCAGGGCCAGGGAGCTGGTAGAGGGGAAGGCAGAGCGCAGTAAACCTCTGGAGGGAGAGTCGTTTGGCGAAGCCTGGAGTTCTCGCGGCAACCAAGCCCAGCAGTTTTTCGGCAGAAGCGGGGGGGAAGTAAGCGGCATCTTCTGAAGTTCTCATACCGCATGTTGAAGCTTTGCCAGTCCATGTTCAGTCTCCAGACACTCCCTGCACACCATGTTGGCCAACACTTGGGCCGTTGACAGCATGAAATCTGCCTATTTAATGGCGAGCCCACCTGAAGGCAGCTCGAAGAAGAAGTATAGAGAAATATGCAGCATTGGAGTAGGTGAACCACCCATTAGTCTATTTTAGTGGGCATTGAATCGGATGTCACTGGGGGTACGAATTGGATTTGACCCGAAGGGGGTTGGCCATCACCTCAGGAAACGTCCTCGGAAAGATGGAGCCCAGTCTGTTACAAGGACGTGCAGGGCAAGCTGGGAGGGTGGGTAGACGTTGGCGTTCGTATTGGCCTGGATTCGTAAGGGTGAGAGGGGTAGTCTGTTACAAGGACGTGCACCGGCAAGCTGGGAGGGTCCTGTAGATGTTGGCTTCGCATTGGCCGGGATTTGCAAGGGTGAGAGGGGTTAAATTGGATGAACGTGGCTCCGGAACATTCTTGAACCCTCACAAAATGTTTGTTCTGCAATTCTGGGTTTGGTGTTTCGTTGCAGTTTGTTGCTGTTGCTTGCTCCGTTTTGCTTCGGATATTTGCAGGTTAAGTGTGGAGAAAACTATCATTCAATCATTCCATGAGATATTGTTGGCCAGACATATTCTCAGATATGGCAGTGATTTTTTTGAGGGGTCTGTAACAGAGCCGCGGCAGACATTCGTTACAGACCTCGTCACAGACCTCTGTAGCAAAACCAGCTGGCTCGTTACACACCCCTCGTTACACACCCTCGTTACACGCCCTCGTTACACACCTCAGATGAACAAACTGGGCCAGTGACGTGACTGCCCTCTTTTTGCCGCAGCTTGGCTTGCGCTGAATAGCTGCAATCAAGCTGGAGCTGCGGAGGCGCTTTGCATGCCGTGCTTTGCTTTGCCTCGTTACAGACCTCGTTACATAGCCGTCACACACCTCGTCACAGACCCAACCCCAGCCCGGGACCCCGCTCTTTGCCGCCGCTTGGTTGAATAGAGCTGCGAAGGCGTGCTTTGCGTGCTGCGCTTTGCATTGCCTCGTTACAGACCTTGTTACATAGCCGTTACATACCTCGTTACAGACCCCACCCCAGCCCGGGCCAGCAACCCCCCTTTTTGCCGCAGCTTGGCTTGCGTTGAGTAGCTGCAAGCGAGCTGGTGCTGCGGAGGCGCGCTTTGCGTACTGCGCTTCGCCTTGCCTCGTTACAGACCTCGTTACATAGCCGTTACATACCTCGTTGCAGACCCAACCCCCAGCCCGGGCCAGCGACCCTGCTTTTTGCCGCAGCTTGGCTTGCGTTGAGTAGCTGCAATCAAGCTGGAGCTGCGGAGGCGCGCTTTGCGTCCGGCGCCTTGCTTTGCCTCACTACAGACCTCGCTACATAGCCATTACATACCTCGTTCTGCTGCGCTACATTGTGCTGCTGATACTGCTTGTCAGGAAATGTTTGTGCCGCTACAGACCTGCGTAACAAGGACCTCCGTTGCAGACCTCCGTGACAGGATTCGTGGCGCGTCGCGCGTTACAGACCCCTAAAAAGAATCAGTGCAAGCAGCCTGATCTTTCTCAAAAGTACCTGCAGCCTCCATTCCTACATTCATTTTTGCTCAAAATATTTCTGCTCGTGACAACCTGTTCAAAAATAAATGTACGATTCAACAAGAATCGCTCGAGTTGTCAGCAATCATGCGCCAGTCCTAACCCATTCCCATTCCTGGTACTTTGCTGGTTCGCGCTTCTTTGCACTTTTTTGCGTCGATTTGCGCTTGTTGTGCACTTTTTGCGCGCTCGTTTCGTTGATGACTCTTCTCAAACTCGCCTTTGTGAAAGAACATGACACTGCCAAACTTGATTTCTGTTCGAAGCCAACAAAAATGCTCGAAAGCAATTGTGGAGGAAACAAGCTACATCATGTCAATTTGTGTATCGAACCAGGGGGGCATATTTTGTGTTGCGACGATGGAGGCTGCAGGTAGTGTCTACGCGATAGAATGCTTGAGGCATGAACTTTTAATGCCGTGCATGCTTTTGCTATTGTTTCACTGTCAGCTTTGCCCTTGGTTTGCATCTGCCCTATCATACAATGGAATTATAATAATTGGTTTCCTCTTGGGTCACTTGGTTTCCCTTCAAGCACTGTTTAACCTACGTTGAGAGATCCGCTTTGTCTTCAAGATGCTTCCAAGTTAGCGAGATCTCGGTGCTGCGCTTGTCGGCATCACTTCGGCCACCCTGGGCCTCTGTTTTGATCCCGATCAATGGGGGTGCCAGCTCACCGAAAGTGCTGCATTGTGCAACATGACCCTTTACACTCCAACTGGCATTTGGGTGAATAATTGCGAGCTCACCAGCAAGTAAGCAACATAATGACAGATTCAATCCGTGCAGAGTTTTTTACGGCTTCCTAATGTAGGTCGGTGCATTCGCTTCTTCTTCACCCAGAATCAGTACATATCTATTCCAATTCCTAGGAGTTGGCACCAATTGTCACGTAAGTCCGGCATGTAGCTGACTTCCAATTGTGTTCCACTGCGGTTATGCGATGTCTTGGCCCCTTACGGC